ATATTAGAAGCACACATTTGAAAATACAGTGAAACTGACAAGGCTGCTAACATGGGTCACCAACTTCTTGCACTCAGTGCAACTCTCTGCTTGACTAAGACCCTCCTCAACCTTGTTCACCTGATTGTACCTACTTCACTAAATAATATTTCTTTGAAGAAATGCTATGTAAATCTTGCTCACACAGAATTCCAGCCTTCTACCACAATCAGTCTGCATTGCGCAATCCTTTCTGAACTCTTATACCTTGGCTACCTTGATGTTATAACCTTCCAACAGTAAAGCACAATTTGAAAGTATTTAAAAGTCAAATATTTAGAAAATAACCATTATTTTTAAAATTATGTGAAAAATGAAATTTGACAGTTTTTTTAAATTATTTGCTTGAAAGCCAGAGAGCCAGAGAATGAGCGTACTCCCATTCTCTGGTTCCCACCTTAAATGCCTGCAATGGTCTGAGCTGGGCAAGACTGAAGCCAGGAGCCAGGAACTCAATCCAGGTCTCCCGTATGGGTGGTAGAGACCCACCTGCTTGAACCATTGCCTGCTGCATCCCAGGATCTGCATTGACAGGAAGCTGGATTAGGAAACAGAGCAGGGACTTAAACCCAGGCAGTCCAATATGGAAATTGGGTGTCTTAACCTCTAGGTCAAATGCTTGCCCCTACAGATCTCATTTTTGTAAATAATATAACTACATGGGAAAATAGTGTATTACTGCATGAAAATAGAATATTACCATATTACCATCTTGACAAATAACATATCAAATTTTGTGTCATTAATGGGATTATAGTTGACTTTTTTCTTTTATTGCGACTTCCTGTTTTTTTTGTAAGTTTCCAACACTGGGTATGTACAATTCAGAAACATGATAACACTTAGTAGAAGCATATCATGGGCCAGCCTTTGTTCACACAATGCCTTTGTTCTCACGCCCCTAATAATGTGCCTGCCTCTGTGAGACTACTTCCCTCTACCAGATCAGTTTCTGGGCAGAGGTCGCATGTGCCACACATGTAGAGAAAAGAGTTGAGGCAAAGCCAGTGACTTTCCCTCAAGAGGAATTTCTTCTGTTAGGCTGAAGAGTGTGACTAACATCAAACTACCTACTGAATTGATAATATAAACCAGTGGAAAGGTTTGCTTTGATTTTATGTGAACCTAACACCCATTGAAAAGTAGGTATCTCTCAACCAGTTGGTTTCAGTTCCCTTGACTTAAGGTCCAAACTCCTCAGGATCTTTAGACTAAGAAGCATGGGTTCTCCTAGGAGAAGTCACCCCTAGTGGGTGATGGTGATCTGGCCAGTGTACCAGATTGGGAGCAAGGATGTCAGCCCTGCCTAACCATATAGAAGATGCTCCTCAAACAGAGATGTCCTGTTATCAGAAGAAGCAAAGAAGAATGTTGGCAAGTAAAAAGAGATATCTGCTATGGAGTAAAACTAAACAATTACTATGCAGACTAATTATGTAAATTCTAATTAAATTATATTGTCATATGCAACCCCGTTTTGAATTTGCAACCCAGGATTGGATTTTGCCTGCAGAAAAGTACAGCAGTTCTTCCTTATCCATGATTTCACTGTCCAAGGTTTCAGTTACCTGTAATCAACCTCAGTTCAAAAATGTTACATAGAAAATTCCAGAAACAACTAATTCATAAAGTTTAAATTGCGGACATAAAGGAATTATACACCATCCAACCTCCCTGGGATGTGAATCATCCCTTTGTCCAGTGTCTCCTTGCTGTATATGCTACCTGCTTGTTAGTGGCTTAGTTATCACGGTTATCATACCACAAAAAATATGTTCTATATCCAGTGTGTGCTGTCCATAAAGCTGTAGGATACTGGGAGTTTGGGAGCATATTTTCTGCTGATGGGGGTTGGGAAGGGACTACTCTAGTACAGCAATGGCAGTGGAGACCTGAGTGCCCTTCTGTCCAAAGGCATTCTGTGCTTGCACCACACTCAGGTTTTCAACAAGAGAATTGCTATGAGCTGCTACGGGGGAAAGTAATGGTTATAAATGGAGAACAAATGCAGCTGTCAAAATGTGATTTCCATGGCTCTTAATGCTTTTCAGAGTAGGATACTGGCTAGCAAAAGCACAATAAAAACGAGATTTTCACACTTTTCTCCTCAAATGCTATTTAAATCTCATTAGGGAGATCTTTGTGAAAGGATGACATTGGCAGTAATGATTCCTTTCAGAGTTTCCTGTTTTTGGCCACTGTCCTTCATTGAGCCTCTGTGTAGCAGAGCTGCCTATCTTTTGGATCTCCTCCCGGCTTTCTAGGACTCGCTTAATACTACATTTTGATCATATAAAAATAATAGAAAAAGCATGGCATTGATGTCATTAAAACAGAAAATACAGAACTCTGTGCCCCTGTTTAAGACTTGCTGACTCATAATTAAGTTTAGTTCACGCCTGGAAATTAGATATTTTCCCATTACCACTCACTGTATTATATTGAAGTAGAGAAGAAATCTGAAGCTTGAAAATCTACAAGGCAGCACTTTATGTGTGACTGTGGCAACTCACCACATTTCCTATGTGCCACAAATAGAATGAATGTGCCTTTCCTACTTCCGATGCAATACTCACCTGGTTATCGAAGCAGAAGCTATCATAGAAGGACTCTCAAATGACTGCTAAGTAGAACTCCCCAGCAATACTATCATGGCCCTTTGTTCTTCTGAAGGGGAAGCCCAAGTTAGCCAGTACAGCACAGTTCTGAAGCTCTGTTTTGAATGGCACCTGGGAATCTCAGAGACTCTCCTGCCTTCCAAAGCTTTATTTGCAGCTGAGTGCCCCAGGTAGCTCTGAGCCATGTGTCCATGGCAGGCATGAGTACACGTTAGTTCTGTACTGGTTGAAATTAATTGGAAAACCCTCACTTCAGACACAGAAGTGGAGAGTTAGAAATTGTTGGTCCCTGGGTTAGAAGGAGGTGAGAAGTTTCCATAAGAAGCGGGTGCTTTGGGATAGGAGCCACCACAGGAGCTGCTTCCATAAATTTAGTGACAGATTTCATTCTAGATCCAATTGGATCACTGGGATGAGGCTTTCGTTTTTGTTCTTTGTGTTGGGACCTGAACACGATCTAGCCTTTGGTCCATTTTCTTGGCATATACTATGTAGCTCTGCCACATCGAAGCTGTGCACAGGCACTGAGTTTTCATGGTGTAGGCACAATCTCAAGTCCATGGTTGATAATCACATAGACAGTTTTTTTTAAAAGATTTACTTATTGGGGCTGGCGCTGTGGCATAGAAGGTTAAGCCTTTGCCTTCAGCGCTGCCATCTCATATGGGTGCCAGTTCAAGTGCCAGATGTTCCACTTCCAATCCAGCTCTCTTCTAATGGCCTGAGAAAGCAGTGGAAGGTGGCCCAAGTGCTTGGGACCCTGCACCCATGTCTGAGACCTGGAAGAAGCTCCTGGCTCCTGGCTCCTGGCTCCTGGCTTTGGATTGGCCCAACTCCAGCTGTTGCGACCATTCGGGGAGTGAACCAGCAGATGGAAGATCTCGCTCTCTCTCTCTCTCTCTCTCTGGAAGATCTCGCTCTCTGTGTCTCTCTCTCTCTGGAAGATCTCGCTCTCTGTGTCTCTCTCTCTCTACCTCTCTTTCTCTCTCTCTCTCTCTGTCACTCTGCCTCTCAAATAAGCAAAATAAATATTTTTTTAAAAGATTTATTTATTTATAAGGCAGAGTCACAGAGAGGAAGAGACAGAGAGAGAAAGAGCAAGAGATCTTCCATCTGCTGGTTTACTCCCCAAAAGCCAAGTCCGAGCCAGGCAGAAGCCAGGAACCCTGGAACTCCATCTGAGTCTCCCATACCGGTAGCAAGGGCCCAAGTACCTGAGCCATCTTCTACTGCCTTCCCAGGCACGAGAGCAGGGAGCATTGGAGCGGGTAGACCATTTTTCTTCAGTAGTCCCACACACACCCTGTACTCTCTGGATTTGGCTATGGAGAAAAATGAACTTCAGAGTAAATGGAAATGCGTTGACCTGAAAAGGACCTTCTCAACAGCTGAGGGAATAGGCTGTTTAATTTTGTTTGGAGAAGCTGGACTTTTGACAGATGAACTTCTTTTCCCTTGGCTTCATATTTATCTAGCAGAGTTGTGGTTGGGAAATGATTCAGGACTCGCAAGGTCAAACAGAAACCTGGTTCACAAACTGTAGACTTCTCCCATCTCACTCCATGACTTCCCTTGGTGAGTGGCTGGGTGGGCTGTTGGTACATCCACCCAGAAATGGTCACTCAAAAACCATAGCAACCTCTTAGACTCAGGCCTCAGGGGTCCTGGCAGCCCCACCAAACCCAGTTCTCCATTCTGGATAATAAGCTTTCCTCTTGTACACTGCACTCCACAGCTTGAAACCATTCCAATGTGCTTGGTGAGTGAACATCTTGTGATAATGCATTGAGAATGAAGGCCATTAGTGAAATTAAAGAAATAATAGTGCATTAGCTTTTTGTAATACCACTCTTCATGGGAAAATGCATTTTCATAGACTACCTGCTTGTAGTCTTTCTTTCATTATCCCAAGAGTGAAGGAAAAAAGGAATGTCAAATATTCTAAACTTTATCTTTGAAGCTAAAAAAGAAAAAAATTTAAGGATTATCAAGAAGTATTTTCTCCTTCTCCTTGGTCCCCTTGTTCCCTGGTGTATAAATAATAAAACAGCCATTTTTCCTTTCCTGAAATTCAGCCTTTTGTATTCTGGCATCTGTGGTTTTGTTATTATCCACGTCATTGTGAATCCACTCTGAAGATTGTCTCAGCAGACCCTTAACAAGGGCCTTTGTGTTGCCTGCTCCCTTCACGCCCATTTCTGGGTAGGCCTACTTATCCAGACTGGGAACAATTTTGCCTTATAATAACTCGTGCAAAGCTCACCTGTGTCTCCTTGTTGAAGAAGGCTGAGTGCTAGTGTGTAGCTGTGAGACTCACAATTTTCCCTCTCTCGTGTTTTTCAGAAATTGAGGCGAAAGAAGCATGTGACTGGCTCCGTGCTGCTGGTTTCCCGCAATACGCTCAGCTATATGAGGGTACGTATGGCCACCTTTCTCTTTGTTCTTTTTAAAGAGAACAAATACGAAATGAACCGCATGCATCCTGGAGTGTCTTGGACTTTCAGTTCTCTTTACTGCCCTTTTACTTTGCTTTCTTTTTCCCTGAGCCTTTGCAGCACTTACTTTGACACTGATTTGGAAATGAGTGTAGCTTCCTAAGCCCATTTCACTTTCTGCTTCCCACCATTAAATCTCTCACTACTCTGTTTTCTTGAAATTACAGTGAATTAGTTGTTGATCAGTTTCTAAAGTCACAAGATTAGTTGTCTTTGATATTTCTCTTTAGTTCCATTTACTTTGTATGAATGCTCAGGCATAATCTAGATACGATGTTTTTCTTTTAAGTTTTAGGTAAACTGCTTTCGCCACCAGCATTAAACATCCTTTTCATTGATTCTTTGACAGTTGAACTTACCTATATCTTACCTATATCTGAAATTATAACCAATGCTCTTAACTCCCTCTTGGATGATCCTTACCTATAGTGAAATACTCAGGATCCCAAAACTAAGCAGAGGGCACCTGGAGCTCAGCTGTGAAAGATTTACATCTAATAGTGTTTGTTGTTATGAAGTTTTGAGCAGGATACAGGAATCCATGAGCTACTGTGCACAGTGCAGGAACCCCTAGCTTGCAACAGCAGAGTTGTCACTACCAGGAGCTTAAAGGGACAGGTTGGGGGAGATGGTCCCATAACCCAGAGAAGAGAGGAGCCTGAGAGCAGGTATTGGGAAGAAGCACAAAGTTGGTCATGAGCAGCCTCCAATGGGCAGAACCAGGGCACGAACACCTTGACCCCCATTTCCTCCCTCCATCTCCAGCCAGGGCTTCCCATTAGTCAAGCACAACCATCCATCCCCACAGGTAACCATCAGGCAACAAAGCAGAGTGCAGAAAAACACAAAATGGGGCAGCCAGGGTCAAGAGAACACCAAGACCAGGCAATGGTGCTGACTTCTCTCCCCAGTAGTGTAGAAAGAACCAACCAAGTTCATCTTAACTTACAGAGGCTCAAAAGGGGACTTGCCCAGTTCCACAGCTAAACAGAAATGGAGCCAAAAGTCAGGGCAGCTGGGCTTCAGTGTCTGTTTCTCATTATGACACCCACCACCTTGCTAGCAGAATGAAAGTCTTCATTCTGGCACCATCTGGAATTCACTCACATTACCTTTTGGATGGAAGGGAAATTGTTTCTGTATCCAGCTCACACTAAGATTTCGATATCCTTAGACTTAGCACAATTAGCAAAGCAAAGCATAGGCAGCACAAAATACATGAAGAGCAACAGAAAGAATGGCAGGAGAATGATAATAATGATGAACCAACATTTTCAGATTTGACCATGGCTCAGTTCCACCGATCTCCAAATTTCTACCTACATGAATGAAATACCTAAAATTAACATCATGTTCTAAGTATTGCAATGACCCCACAAAGCTGGCATAGATTGTTTGAGAACAGTCATGGTGTTGGATTTACATCTTTTTGGATAGAATCAATGGAGTATTTTGCTGACACTCCAAAGTGACTCACATTTTTGCTACAAAAGAAGACATTTGAGATCATTGAACTTTTGGTATTATTGGAAATGTCCTTCTGAAGGAAAAAATACCCTGCCAAACAAAGTAGTACACAAACTCATCAGGATAGAAGTCAGCAACTGACACTTTAGGTAGAGTGCGAAGATCTGAAAGCTCTTGCCCAGGTCCACGTCAGCCTATGCCTGCGACAAGGATGAGCTACAAAAACACAGGCACTTAGTGTTCTATTTGACCCAAGGTCAATCACGTGGTTAGCCTCATATTTCATGCTTGCATTATACTCTTAAAAGCCTTTTTTGTGACAAAAATAAAATTGTTGTCTCAAATATTACCAACCATGGCAATGGGGTAATTGCCATTAAGATCAGAGGCTTCTGGATAGTGGCCGGACTGTGTTGCTACTTATTCAGATACAGCAAAGTACCTAAACCTTTGTCTCTCTCTCTTTCAGATTCACAATTTCCCATCAACATTGTGGCTGTCAAGAAGGATCATGATTTTCTTGAAAAGGAACTTGTAGAACCCCTTTGCAGGTAAATTATGTGAAGTATTGGTGTTGTTTCTTCCCATTTTGAAGTTCCCAATAGGTATCACATTAATGAAGGGCAAATTCAACAGTACACTAAGTATTTACTGAGTGCCTGTTATATGCCAGACATAAGTACTGCTCTAAACATTCTACCACAAGCATGTTTCATTCATATTTTCATGGGGGTTTAAACTCTGGTAGGGGGCTGCAGAAAATAGATTAGGGAAAGACAGAAAGAGAAGAGAGAATGTGAGTGAGAGAAAGAAAAAGAGAGAACAAGAAGTTTCAGCTAGTGTTAAATAATTTGAAAAAAAAAAAAAAAAGAAATGGATATACAGTGACTGGGCAGCCACAGCTGCAGTGGTCAAGGAAAGCTCTGAAAAACTAGGTTCTGTCACATTTGGCTGTATTTTGTGGAGAACCAACCAATTATATCCTCAGGCTGGAATATGTATGCTCAAGTAATTTTATCAGCAAACTGGAATATTTAAGCTTCTGCTATGTAATAGGTGTTATAAAGAGAAAAAGATGTATTATGAATAATTCCCTTCTCTTAAAATATGCCTGGTCTGATTGTAGAAGCCTCCTTGAAGAAATGAGACGTGAATGCATGACCAGATAGGTAGCAATTGTTATTTGGGTAATAATAAAATATTCAAAGGAATCTATATCCCTGAATAATTCAATTCTCCACGGGACGTGGTATGTGTCTGTAGAATTTCAAAGTTTCCTAATAAAGCCTTGGAGAGAGGTCAGAGCTGGATATAAATGTCGGTTATGAAATATGAGTTGTCTTACCTAGACCATGCAACTAGTTATGAACTGAAATGCTCTTAAAACTCAGGACTCGGGGCAGGCATTGTGGTGTAGCACTTGGGATCCCCTCATCCCGTATTGGAGTGCAGATCTGAGTCCTTGCTATTCCACTTCTGATCCAGCTCCCTGCTAATGCACCTGAGAAGTGGTAGATGATGGCCCAAGTACTTGGGTTCCTGCCGCCAACCATGTGGGAAACCAGGATGTAGTTCTTGGCTTCTAGCTCCTAGCTTCAGCCTGGTCTAACCCCAGCTGTTGTAGTCATTTGGGGAGAACACCAGCAGATGGAAGATAGATAGATAGATCTCTCTCTCTCTCTCTCTCCTCTCTCTCTCTTTCTTTCAAATGAATTTAAAAAAAATGGTACCTATAACTTTCAGTCCAGTGATATTCATACATATTCTGTGTTTACCTTGGAAAAGGTGGTAGTTTAAGGGGAAAGAAATAAAAGTAAAACTTATGTCAACATAGGGGAAAGCAATGTGTGTTAGAATCCTGGGTAAATAATCTTTTCTTCTGCTTGCCGAATCTTCAGCCATTTATATTTTTGTGTCTATAAAACACTCAGCAGTATGTTTCCTATATGAAGAGAAAATAAACTTGTGTTGAGAAATAATCTCTGAATGTTCAAGAAAATAATGCTGTGAGTTGTGTCAGTGGGTAGAAGAGCAAAGAACTCATCAAATCATACATTATGGGAATAGCTTATTTGGTCTAGATAAGCAAGCACAAAATGCCATTTGTGAGAGTTTGTGAGATGAGTGGTTGGTTTGGTTGTGATTCTTTAAAGGGAATGGATTGCAAAAGAAGTGCTTGCCCTTCTTTCACAGAACTAAAATGTTAAGACTTACTTAAAGCTAAGTATGTCTTGGTCTCCAATAGCGTGAGTCCTCCAGCCTTGTTCTTCACTGGACTGTTTTAGCTACTCTAGTTCCTCTGCCTTCCATATACATTCCAGAAACAGCTTGTTGATATTTATTTTAAAAATCCTACTGGGGTTTTGACTTGGATTGTGTTGAATCTGTGTATCTAACTGGGGAGAATTGATGTCTTAATAATGTTTCCTATTCTGATTCATAAACTCAGTGTATAAAGACACTTTGGAAAGTTTGTGGAAAATGGAATTAAAAATAAACTTGTTTTGGTACAAATAAATTTTAAAATCCATATATAGCTTAAAAGTAAAAAAAAAAAAAACTATGGAGAATGATATGCTTCCATGAACTTTTTGAAGATGCCTCATATGCATAGTTTTCAAAATTTAGGGGTAGCAAAATAAAATTCTTTTAATTCCATTTTTGAAATACTCTCTTATGCTTCTGTTGATTTAAATTTTCTTTGATCTTTTTCAACAGTGATTTGTGGTTTTCATCTCATGGATGGTATACATACTTGATAGTGCCAAAGAATTTCATGTTTGTGATGCTATAATAAGTGCCTCTGTGATTTATTTTAAAAATTTATATAAGTATTTTAACAATCTCTGATTGTTAATTAGTAGTACATAATTTCTTTTTGTATATTATGTTATTCCCTGCAATCTACATTCACTCACTAATTAGTGCTAGTAGTTTTGTCATATTCTCATTAAGATTGCATTTCTAAAATGTTAATGAAAAGTTACATCATTTTAAACCAAACATAGAAACTCTATTCCATATTTCTAAGTCAGGATTTCAGGGGCAAACACTATCTCTGCTTATACAGTTTTGTTCACAGGATGACGTAAGTGGCATGATGGACCAAAGTTCCCATCTCAAACTTGGCGAAAATCCTTATCTACTCACTGCTGCACGTTATCCGAGATGCCTTGACTAGGTTACAGACTTTTCCATCAAAGTCTACATTTTTCAAAAAGCCTTTCCGATGTGTTATAGTAATGAGCCAATGTAACTAATGTGAAATCATTTCAGGATATAAAGTTTTAAATAGGAGTGCCAGTGCCAGCCAGAAAAATCAGGAAGTCTTCTTTTGTAGAGTGTGTGACCCATCATGGCTGTAGCTCTTAGCAGGCTCCATACATGCATCCCTAGCCCAAAAGGCCTTACCACACCCAACGTGGGGAAGGACAGCCAGGCTGGACACACTGATGCTCTTGATAAGGGTCCAGATTCTGTAAAAATGGTTAGTGGCAGGAGGTTGTTGTAATTGGAATAATTCTTAGGGAAGCTATGTCTCCAAAAATATTGTGAAGCAAGAAAAACATCTGGCTGGAGGTGTGTGAACTACTTCTCAGGGTGGAGGAGCCATGGGTAGAACAGAAGCCAAAGGAGTTGCACACCCAGGGTGGATCAAAAGAAGCTGGCAGAGGAGGTAGACAGATGGAGGTAGCTTGGCTAAAAAGAAGCAGCGTGCAGTTGCTTTCCCCTCATTGTGATTCCACCAAGACACAGATTTTTCTGCTCTGCAAAGAGTGAAAAGCAGACAGAAGGAAAATCTCCAGCCCAAGGGGAATGACAGCGCTTTAAAAACTTTTGAGACTGATGCATGCTTAATGAGACACTGGCGCACTCAGATGGTAAGTCATGATTAATGCACAGAGAGCAGTATGGGGTTTTGATTTTATTCTTTTTCTTCTCTGTGCACTGTACACACAGAGGTGGAGCTGGTCTCCTGCTTTATTTGTTAAGCTTTGTGGGCTATGCATTTCTCACATACGTTGGAAGTGTTGAACTAACGCAGAATCAGAACTGGAGTTGTAGCCCAAGGGCAGATAGCTTCTGCCAGGCAGATGAAGGAAGACAGGAGACCTGGAAGTCTCCTACAGGTTGTCCATGACAAGAATTTTACGATCTTTTGGTTTTCTCCAAATGGCTCTCCCTAGTTAATATCCTGGTGCCAATTCACTCTTGGAGAGTGTTGAAACAATGTTATCTGGTGCCATTGGCCTGGAAATACATTTTGTACTAAGGCGGTAGCTAGCAGAAAGACTCCAGATCTGGACCCAAATATGTGGATAGGTAGCTCTTCTTCTTCTTCTTCTTTTTTTTTTTTTTAATTTTTGTAGTTCTGCTATTTGGGCCCCAGAAACTAGACTAGTTTGCTGAAGGTGTAAGCCTGCAAAATGACAACCAAATCTCACTGTAGCTCCAGCAAGACTGACCTGCCCTGTGCACAGCAGGCACTCCGCAAAAGTTTATTCCTAACAGGCAGGAAGTATGCTTTCAATCATTTTAGCACCACAGTTCTGAAGATCTTGATTGAATTCTTAACTGAAAAATATTTCCTCTTGTGAGTCATGAAAAGCTCATTTGCAAGCGTTAAGTACCTAGGTGAACTCATTAAAACCACAACCTATCAGAATGTAGTGACAGTCAGTGTCAGAATAGCTGGTAAAGTTTGTCACCTTTAAGGCGAATTGCAGCAAACCAAAGATGAGACTCCTTTAAAGGAGAAGCAATACATTCTATTAGCATTTTGATTTGCAGCATTCATTTAGGCTGCTAGTATATATACCATGAAGCTCAACAGGACCTCTGGATTTTTCAATTAATGTTAGGACAGTATAGCATTCACATGACTTGTGTTGTTAATAAATACTAATTAACTGTAGTGCATATAAAATAAGGGCATTCACCTTGTTTAGTACCATCTGGTGGAACTATGGAATTGTTTACAATTACAGGAGAGTTCTTCAAAAAGCTCATGGAAAATGGAATTTAAAAAATAAGTTTTCTTTGGTGCAGAACAATTCTGAAACCTATGCCTAGGTTTTTCATAATGCTCATTTGCTATGAGCTTTATCTCATATATCACTGACCTTTGTATTTAAAAGGACAATAAGTGATAGTGATTTTCATGTGGAGTGGGGGGAGGGTTACGAATGATGTTTACAATTTATCTCTCCACACAAAGGGCTATATTTGATTTGACTTTGTTAAATAACCTAATAATATTAATAATAATTGTCTTTATGAATACTAATACCATTTTTAAATATTTTCCTTTTAGACTATTTATCACAGAAAATATACAGTACTATATATCACTATGTCATATAAGTGATGAGCAACTGAACAGAGTCCTTGGACTAGTTTTTGAGAAAAGGAAATAAGAAGTTAGAAGATCACTATGGTCACATCTACCCCTGACATCTTGAGTTTATAAATAAATACAGCCCCAACAAACGGTGATTTTATTTCTTTAACACACTTACAAAGTGTTCAACAGAGGCGTGGCCCATCATCA